ACAAGATGGTTAGTAATGTATATTTACACTCCCCTTTTTGTTGTTACTTCTTGTTTCATACAGCAATTGTGGCGACTTAATCACTGAGCTTTGCAGCTCTCTGCCGCAGGCAGACTGTATGTCGTCGAGTAAATAATGCGCATGCGCGGCTTTTCTCAGGGAAACATTCTAACTACGCATGCTTATGCAGCAGGTTCTCGGTCAGAAAGTGTAAGGGTCGTCCATACATACAAGTAGAATAATAGTATAGATATTTCACCCACACAACTCCATCTAAGTTTAGGTTTTAATTACCTCAACTCTGGACAAACGATAAAATAAACACACTAAAAGGTATAACACTTTTAATAACTTTTTTATTAAATAAAATTATACATATATGATGCGTATGACCGAAAATAGCAAATTTAGATCCAGCGTTGAAAACTGTTCGCAATTAATAAAAGGACTATTTCATATCACAACAGTGAGACTTATCTTTTGTGTAAAAATACGATGTTCCAGCGAAATCGTGTTCGCGTTAATTAAAGAATCAGTTTTTATAAGTAAACAATGACTATTATGTACAAAACACCTTGTACTAATTTGGTACGACAGTAAATGATTGAAGAAAGCCAGCACTTTTCATATATATATGTTTATTAATAAAGAAACAATAACAACTATTTACAATATTCTAATTCACTGCATCGTGTACATTAATTCTCATAAAGCCACTCACCCTTCACTAAAAGTTGTGCCACGTAACTATCCTCACCAGCAGAGTTTCGAGCAATGCAAGTATAGTTGGCGATATCTGAAACGGCAATCTCTCTTATTTCTAAAACCAAAAAGGATTCGTGGTGAATTAATTGGATTGAGTCCCTCGAAAAACTAATTTCTTTATCATTTTTTTTCCATAGAAAATTAACCGGTAATGTCCCTTTCTGTAAACCACATACGAGACGACCTTGCGATCCAAGTTCAACATTTGGCGGGAAATTGAACGGTTGAATAGTTGGAGGATCTAGAAAAGAAAACAATAAACCATTTCCTACTTCTCTACGGATCTTGCTAATAATATACATTTTCACACGAAGCATCAAACCCCTAAAACGGTTTTTAATTTATTTCAATTTACAATTAACAGCTGGAGTTCATCTTGAATCTTGGGTATAATGCAATCTTTCATTTGGATACGCAATAAATTAATTTCAAGGCATAAAATTATTTATCATTTAATGTTTTTATTTTATGATATATTCAAAATTTGATATTACAAAACACGGTTTTAGCATATAATTGTATCTTACCCATG